CTTGATCTGCCTATGTACAGTATACCGCTCCAGTATGACCGACTCTAAACTTTCTTTCCTTCTGTCTTTGCTTCGTTATTTCTCTCTGTATGCCATTCTTTCTTCCTTGCTTCTGTCGTTCGATCCCTCCTTCGTTATTTCTTTCGTTCTTTGTTGCTTTCTTGTGCCTGGCTTGGTGTCTTTAGTCATTCAATTCTTTCGGTGCCTTCTTTCTTTCGTTCTGTGTCGAAGTCGTTCTTTCTGTCTTCGTTTGGCTTTCTTAATTCAAGTCTTTGGTGTGGATGTCTTTCTGTCTGCCTTTCTTGGCGTCCTTCTTTATTCTTTCTGTCTCTGTGTCTTTAGATATTGCTTCTTCTTTCTTCCTGTCTCTGTGTCTTTCGTTCGTGCTTTCTTTCTTTTGGTAGTCTCTCTGTGCCTGCCTGTGCCCTCTGTCGCCAGCCAAGAACAAAAAATACAGAAAAATCGACAACCAAACCACGGTACCCCTCGAACCGCAAGCCTCACAGCAATATTGACTATATAAACTGTCAAACAGTATCAACCTCCAGTGCCCTGTAGAAGTCCGAAAAGTAAAGTCCAAACCCAAAATCTATCTGGAAGGCCTAAAGATATGGGAGTTTCCGAAAAATTGGGGACCCTAATGTAGTACCCTAAATAGAATCCTTAATCAGAGTTCCCCAGAGTTAGGCTTTCACACAAAACCTCCGAGCCTGCTTCTGCTTCTGCTTCAGGGCTGAGGAGTGTGCAGGGAGACCCCCGGATGGCACACTTCGCAAAGTCCTCCAGGGCTTGGTGTTTAGTTAGGGAAAACACAAGCAGCAGTAGAGCTAGCAATATTGGTGGATAAGAACATAATGCCCAGCATAGCAACGCCTAATGCTAGTCTAGTGTACATCCCTATTCAAATTTTCGTCGGGTTTGCCAAACGGGAGGTTGAGACTTTGGGTTTAAGGCTCATCTCATGCTTAGCATTTACTGCCACTAGATTTAGGTGCAAACTGCTGTTCTTGCAGTTCGCTTGTGCCCTGTAGCCCTAATCTCTGAACCTTAAACTCTAAGCCATACTGTCTCAGGCTGACGGCTAAGGTTGGAATTGCAGGCCCTGCGATCTTCGTGGCTCCCTTTTCAAACATGCCCATGTGAGGGTATATCTGCAATGCGCACATCCAAGTGCGGCACGATGTCAAGCTTTCTCCGCCGCGGCTATCCCAGCAGAGACTGGTTTGGATGCATGTCGTGTGTTGGTTGAACTGCCCACCTTGTGGCTACTGCAAGTGTTGAAGAAGCGTCCTTCACGAATTCCAGCAGGCGCGTTTTCTCTGGAGTTCCCGCCTCATCAAAACAGAGCGTTGCTCACTTCCAGTGCTCGTGGGTGGCGGTTATCGCCAAGGGCTAAGGGTCGATAACAGGCTGTAAACAAGTCTTTGTGCTAGCTCACTTGAAGGCAACTCCAGGTGAGGCGGAACCATTTTTACTAGGCATGTTTTCTTCTGCGGCGTTTGCCGAATGGCAAAACACACGGTTTGTGGTCACCACTTTCTACACCCACTTGATTCAGGGTTCCCTCTGAATCGAGTTCACAACTCTGCGAAGACAGAAGATAAGTACCCTTGACAACATAGGCTAGATGTACGGGTTCTTTGCCAATACTGCAAGCAACCCCTTCTAAGGTCCTGACTACGGTCTGTAGTACAAGGTCCCCAAAAGTTAACTTGTGAATGGTTGTTCTCATTCACAGGCCATTAGGTGAGGCTTTAACAGGTACCACAACTGCACAGTGCCCTCTGGTTTATGTTTGGGGGGTTGCCGACACGTAGACTCAGACCCGGGCATGTGGCCTTCGATCGAGGAGGGCAGGCTTGGATTCTTTGCCCTGTGGGAGTGATGACTAGCCGGTGACAAGAGTATAACAGCAAAAGAAGTCAATCGTAGCAAGCGAAACCGGTAATGACAGCAATGGGAAAGTTGACAGAGACACTTGCAGGACTAATGGTGATGTTCGGCTTCGTGGAAGCAGGTGAGCAAGTCTTGTAGCGAAGCAGATACGACTAGCAGTCGCGAAAACCATCCTCGCACAACAGCATCGACAGCTATCGTAATGGGCTATCAACATAGAACCTGCACTAAACATTGCAGTAATGACGCTCATGCTGGTGCTTGCAACCAGACTGGCGACAGGGTTGAACCTCACAAACTGAAAAAGAGCCAACGCAACTTACAATCGCAAAAACCATGATGACTCATGACAGTTTGATACTGGCAAGGTCCTTCGCTGCTCCGCTGGCCGCAACAAAGCTTTCCTCGTTTTTGTCCACGGAATCGCACCTGCCGTCTTGCAGATCGCGCAGCTGTGCAAGGGCTGTGGGGCTTCCACAGTGCCGGAGACCGATCCGCTGCTTAATGCCACAAATTTCGGCTCTGCCGCAACACTACTGCTTGAACATGTCAGCATATCAGGCCCGAGGAGCCCAGGTAAGCAGCACTCTGGGAAGTTCTGCATCTTCCCGCTCGCCCATGCAATTTCTAAATCCACCGAGGATCGGAGCAAGCCCCGAATGATTTAGTTCCGATTCAGCCGTTTGTGCTTGTTAGACTCTCCACGACCGCTTCCGAAACACTGTCTTGAACCCATAGTATCAAGTAAGAAATCATGTGGTCGGGATTCTTGCAGAGTTTTGATGTGAGGGGCCGTGTGAAGGAATTGCTCGGCCAAGAAGGATTCGCCTTTGAGCCAGTTGTGGCAAGTCTCTTGGAGTACAAGGCTTGGGGCTGTATCCTTCAATCGGACAGACTTCAGCGTGTGGCGATTACGGATTCGTGATCCGTCTTTGGGGAGGTATGGACACCGTCTCACAGCCACACCGAAAGATGCGTATCTCCGGCTCAGCGAGACGGCCAACTTTGCGTCTGTATGGAGCGGCCTGCGAAAGGTCGAGCGACATAGCCTGTACAGAAACTACGAGATGTCTGGGAGGTATCTCGACACACACCGGAAGAGTCGGCTTCTTCTCTTCCTTCGACGTCCTTAAAAGCCTACATATAACCCCACATCCACATCCACAGCATGCCATCCCCTTGCATCCAGAGGTAGACAATAGAAAAATGCATATCGAAAGCTGCAGCTTCTAATCCTCGGTTCATCAGGCTACCTGGAGTAGTGATGAGCACCCTCTCTGCTTTCGCCGTCCTCTTGTATCACATAGTGTCATCTGGTATAACATGGCGTCTAGTATAATTGGCCAACATGGGTCTCTGGTTACACATCAGGTCTAGCATAGTATAGTGTAGTATAGAAAAGTTTCGTATAGTGTGGTATCATGCAACATGCTATAGTATATGGCAGCCTGACCTATTGACAAATGCGAACGTAGTATGGTATATCATACAAACCACGTACAATACACCACCACAAGGTTCAATATGCTGTATTCTACAACATCATAAATAAATACAATACTCTCTTGCATTCATGTACATTATAACTCCCACCAACAGACACCCACACGTATACATTTGTTCATATTTGTATACATATACATTTACGTAGATTTCTGTATATATGTATGCATATCTGTATATATATATATATATGCATACATACATACCCATACACTTACATGTGCATACATACATATACATATGTTATACGCATCTGTACATGTGTGTATGTATATATATATATATATATATATATATGTGTAAATATGTGTGTTTTTATATGTATATATACACACAAAGATAAGACAATTGTGGTAAATACTCTCTCTCTCTCTATATATATATATATATAGAAATAAATGCACAAACATATAAATAAATATATAAATAAATAAATGAATATATATATATATATATATATATATATATATATATATATATGTATGTATGTATATATACATATATATATATATATATATATATATAATGGAGTGTTTGGACTCTTCAGTCGGCTGTGGCATTATAGAAAACTTGGGGTTGCATTGATTGCATTGTATGACCCACGGTACCATATTGGGCCGCGGATGTCATTTGCAAACTGTTCCACTGCCCAGGGACTCTACTATTCTACGGCCGCTGCAGCTCCCGAATTTCGTGCGCCAATTCACAAGGAACCAGCAGTAGGGAATCGAGCCAGAAAAACCATGCAGGGTCGATGAGGGTGCGGGCTCGATTGGCTTTGCTTGGGACCTCCTGCTGGATCCTGAATTATGGCAGATGCAAGCTAACTGCTAGCTTCTTGAGTTCTTCGTGCATCCGTATCAAAGCAAGGCCAGGAGCAACAACTTCAGCTCCTGCGGCCGTCCTCGAACTGGACCTGCGCATGAAAGTTGAAAGAACCCTTCAACACCCGAATCGCTACCCAGTGCCCAGTCCGTAGCTGATCGGGGGGCATGCAGCAAATCAGGCAAACTCCTACGGCGTGTCGGTACGTGTGAGGTCGAAGTCTACAGAGCCTGAGCCCGAACTTACCTTTGGTCAGTAGGGAATGGAAGAATGGTAGTAATTGTAGTTACAATTGTACCCCATTCCTCCATTCCCTACTAACCAAAGGTAAGCCAAAGCCAGAGCCAGGCCTGCTTCAATCGAGATTGAAAGACGTGGAGCCTCCGCGAGTGGCTCGTATGTCGATTCTGAACGGGTGTTTTGGTGTTTCGGGCTCGGAGGGCTCAGGCTTCCGTGTAGAATCAGAAGCACATTTTCGGGCAATTCAATAACAGGACCAAGGGAATCGCAAAGATGCTCCGGCTGCTGTGCTCTTCAGAACTCCACAGAAAACACTGTGCCGCTGCGCTTCACGACATCTTCTGTGATTGAGGCAAGTAGGTATAGGGGTTGCAGGCATGCACATAGGCCTCACATAGTTTACCAGGCTTCGGTGATCGTTAGCGGCAGAAATTCCGTGATGACTACTCCGAAGCTTTGAGGACTTCTGGCATCAACAGCAGCCATCGAATGCGCACGTCAAACCGACAGTCAGTAGGGACTCTCCGGAAGCCCTACCAGAACAGAACCCTAGAAAGTCAACCAGTTCAGCTGCAAGAGCAACCGCGGCGCGCGAAGAACCAACCAATATAAAGCTAAAGTAGGATGCCTGGTTGGATTGCGCAACTCGTATTAGAGGGAACAACTCAACTCCTTAAAGAATAAACAAAAGTCACAACCATGTCCGGAAGTTCGGTTCTGACCTTTGTCGCTGGATCGGAGTTGGGTTTCCCGGAGGCAGTCTCGGTGGCACCTGGGCAGTCAGGCACCACTGGAAGGGCAGCAGGCCCAAACGGCAAGTCCTCCACCAAAGCGCTTTAGCATCTGTCTTACGCTCTGAAAACGCTTCCACGTGCCTTCAACTTGCACCATGCGTCTGTTAAAGAGCGCAAGAGCCTGAACAATGTGCAAATGCAGTACAACTATAGTCCACTGTCTGTGTTTTGAGCATACCATGCCAGCATGCGATTTGTTCCTCGTTGCTGTTCAAAGGTAGTGGTAAGGCTTTGATCGCCTCGAAGACGATTTGGCCCTTTCCGCCCCTTTGGGGTTTGATTTGTGCTCCTAATTTTCGGTGCGCAAATACCAATCGCAACACACCAAGAGACAACCTGAACCATAAATTCCGAAACTGGCAAGGCTACACACCCCCCACTGGCCTCGTCCCGTCGTGGCGGGACCCCAGCACAGAATCCTCGCCGGTCCTCTTTTCGGTCTAGCATAGCTTTCAAAATAAGTATTCGGACGAGACATAGAATCATGGCACTCCGAAGCTGTAACTGCACAGTCACAACAACCATAATGACAAACACTGTAAAATTTCACATTCCGGATTTAGATCTGTCAGGTCACGTCTTTACAGTTCACAGGCCTGTACCCTCAGGCCTTTACTCACAGGTCATCCCACGCCATGACGTAGCAAAAATCTGTCGCAAACTTCACCTTCAACCTTGTCGTTAGAGTGCACCACCGGGGCCTGCACCACAGCCTCCTGCACGTCAACATTCGTGGGTGCGCAAGGTGCTCTATTGTTGCAGAGGGGTTCCGTCAGAAGACTCTCGAGGGCTCTACACTGCGTCAACAGAGTGTTTCCTCTCTGTCAACTGCTCCTCTGTGTCAAATTACCTACTCTCTTTCGAGCGGTTTGCTCCTGCATCTGCAACTTGCTAGTCCCTTTCGAGTTGTTTGCTCTTCTTTCTCAATTCCTCTATTCCGTTTCTACCGGTTGTTCCTCTCTGTCGAAAGCCGGTGGTGGAAGCGGACTTCGCGACAAAGCGCGGCTTTCAGAGGTGCCGAGGGATTGCAACGATATGGGTTCAACTGGAAAGGGGTCCTGCAAACTCAACGCCCTCTCCCCAGCTGAAGGGTTCTACCCGGCAGCATGCACACCCCGAACAGTCTGAATCGGGGCATCCTTATCCTTCTCAAAACCTCGAGAACAACTGCTGACTGCATGCAGCCTCGGGCACGAGGATCTCCTCGTAGTCCTCTTGCCGCTCAATTCGAAACTCAAAGGATCTTGCTGATGGGGGGGGAACGGGTGCCGAAACTAAAGGATGACATTAGCAAGAGTCGCAATACTGGCCCATGGCTCAACGCATGTGGACGGGCATGCATCCTGGCGGGACTCGCCACCCCCAAAGCCTCCAACGTGAAGCATCAAACCGAGCATGCATCCTATACGTCGGTATGCGCCCGATTCCTCTTTGCCGCTCCCAAGCATGCAGATCCAGGCCTCAGGAAGCATCGTCACCTCAGGCTCCTCCGCGTAGGCGCTGCTCCCCGCAGCCTGGGAATCGGGGTTTCATTGCAGGGAGTTTAAGGCTAAGGTTCAGAGCTCATTCGGAAGGGGCGGAGGTGCATAGCCGTCCTGTAACCCAGCCGAGTGAGCCTGAGCACAAATAGATCCCAGCTCAAGAAGTCTGCAATCCAAGCCAGGCCCTGAATCACAGGATCCAGGTCTGGGAGTCTGGGTGTCCCTGCTTCGTGCATTGCTGGCCGTCGGGGTGAAGATGCCTGCAGCTCTGTGCTATTCAATCGGATGCTGTGCAGCCGGTCGTAGAAGCTACTGAAGCCATAATTTGCTTCGCCAAAGAAATTCTGGCAAGCTCCGGTCGCTAAAGAATCACACCTGCACTACTAGTGGGCAAGTGGTGCACCAAATGAGCTGGAGTGCTTTGATGATTGTGGGCCAGTATCGATGCTTCGAACATACACGTAGCCAAATCTGACAGCAGGAAGGCCCCGCCAAACCCATGCTGTCACACGTCGTGCTCCCTCAAATGCCTTCTCTGCCGCCTCCGACGTCATGGGCTCCAAGGCGGAGGCAATCCTCACGGGGCAACGGCAATCCTAGTCCTTCTGAGTAGAGAGGCCTCGGAACATCAAGACCTTGTGCCGGAGCTTTGGGGCCTGTCTAGGAATTCAGGAGGCTGCCTTGCTGAGAAGGTGCCATCATAGAAGCCTCGAAGCTGTCGGATGTTGTAGAATGCAGGCTTTCCTTCTAAAATATGACAG